ATCCTTTTTGAATTTGACTATTCTAGGTACCTCAAATAAGTAGAATCACAGCATATTGGTTCTTTTTTCCAGTTTATTTCACTCATAATATTTTTCAGATTCACCCATGTTGTAGCATGTATCTGAGTTTCAGTCCTTTTTCTTTTTGTTTCTTTTTTTTTTTTTGACACAGAGTCTTACTCTGTTGCCCAGGCAGGTGTGCAGTGGTGTAGTCACTGGTGCAGTCATAGGATCTTAGCTGGCTGCAGCCTCAAACTCCTGGGCTCACGCCACCCTTCCACCTCAGCCTCATAAGTAGCTAGGACTACAGGCCCATGCCACCACACCCAGCTAATTTTTAAAAAAATCTTTTGTGGAGACCAGGTTGTGTTGCCCAGGCTGGTCTCAAACTCCTGTCCTGAAATGATTTTCCCACCTTGGCCTCCAAAAGTCCTGGGATTACAGGTGTAAGCCACTATGCTCAGCCAAATTCCATTTCTTTGTAAGATTGAATACTATTCCATTGTATGTATGCCACATTTTGTTTATTCATTCATCCATAAATGGACATTTGGGTTGTTTCTACCTTTTGGCTACTGTGAATAATGTTGCTATGAATAGCCCTATGTCTTTTATACTGCAGTGGATACACAGTATTTATGTAATTAGATAATGTTGCAAAAATATTTTATGTGCCTCTACAGCACTGAGCACAATGCTGGTAACAGAGCAGCTAGAATATTATTTTTACAAACGCAAGGCTAACTCTGCTGCCGGGACTTGCCCATGGCTTCTCTTCATGTTAGAATATAACTATGAAGCCGGGCATGGTCGCATGTGTCTATAGTCCTGGCTACTCTAGAGGCTGAGGTGAGAAGATTGAGCCCAGGAGTTCAGGCTGCAGTCAACTATGATCACATAATTGCACTCCAGTCTGGATAACAAAGCAAGACGAAGTCTCTCAAAACAAACAAAAACAAACCCACAATCTATGAGAATCCTTACTACAGCCCATAAGAGAATCCTTACTACAGCCCATAAGCCCTACATGATTTGACCCAACTTCTAAGTTTGGCCTTCTTTCCTCCTCTTCTATAGCACTGGTCTTGCTATAGTCCTCAAATATACCAAGTTGATGATTGCCTCAGGGCCTTTGCAAATTTACTGTGTCCTTCTCTAGAAATCTCTTTCTTTACACCTTTGCGTGGGGTCTCTCTCCAATTTCTCTCAGGAACCAGATCAGAGGTCCTGCCTCAGAAAGAGCTTCCCTGACCAGCTGATTTAAAATATCAACTAGCACCACCATCATCTCCATTTGCTTAATTTTTCTTCAGAGCAGGTATCATTCTTGGTCTCCCTCTCTAGAATGTGAGTTCCAAACAGACAGGAACTGTGTATTTATTTGCCTTCTATGGTATCCCCTGCCTCTGTCAGCACATAAAATCACGTACTGTTCAACAACATTTCAGTCCACAATGAACTGTATATACACGATGGTGTTCCCTTAAGACTATAATACTCTATTTTTACTGTACCTTTTCTATGTTCAGATATGCTTAAATATACAAATACTTACCATTGTATTATAGTTACCTACAGTTCAGTACAGAAACATGCTGTACAGGTTTGTATTAAGAGCAGTAGACTATACTGTATAGCCTAGGTGCGTAGTAGTCTATCCTATCTAGGTTTGTGCAAGTATGCTCTATGATGTTCTCTATGAGAAATCACCTAATGACACATTTCACAGAATGTATCCTTATTGCTAAGCCGTGCACAATTGTATTTCCCTTTATTGTGAATCAGAACACTGGTGCTTCTTCCAGGCAGAGGAACTTATAAAAGGACCCCTCTCTTCTTGTGCTAAAGCAGCTAGAGCAGAGCCAAGGTATGTGAATTTCAGCTCATATTCCTACCCAGCCACACAAACTAAGCTGTGGCCTTTCCTAGGTTTGGCACACAGTAGGTGTTCCATAATCAGCTGTTGAGTGAAGTACTGTATAGTAGTGGAGATAAGTACTGGAGGGAAGATACTCAGCGTCTCTCTCGCCCCATCCCCTTTTGTAGCTCCTTAGAAGATTCTGCACAAAATTGGATTTGACCTTTTTCTCATGTCACTTGTTGATCAAAGCTGCATGCCAGCCCAGTCTGGCCCCAGTGAGGACTCTAGCCCAAGAACCCTGCTTTAATCCAGGGACTCTTTGATCACTTTCTACAGTATAGGATGCACCAGGCGGGGGGTGGACTCCTGGGGCTTTATTCCACTCACTGAGACAGTACCATTGGAGACATGGGCAGTCTGTTAGCTCTGGCTGCTTTCCTGGGAGGACTGATCTGGTCATTGACTGAAACTGAACAAGAAATGTTACTTTCAGACTGAGCCCTCTAGGCCTACTGTGGGTGTTAAATAAGATAATGTGTGTAAAGGGCTTACTGCAGACCCTGGTCTAATGTAAGCACTAATAGCTGGGTGAAATAAAAGCTCAACAACATAGGAATGTTGAGAAGGATGAATAGAATTTCAGCTGTCAGGCAAAACCTTCTGCTCTGGCCTCTACCTCTCTGTTCTCATCTCCTGTTACTCTCCTCATTCGCTCCAAAGCAGCCACAATCTCCTTCTTCCTGATCCTTGAAGGCCCTGTGCCCATTCGAGCCCCAAGACCTTTGCATTAGCTCTTGTCTCTGCCAGCTGTTTCTCCAGATCTTCCTCCATTGTTGGCTCCCTCTCATCCTTCTGATCCCAGACTACATGTCACCTCCTCACAGAGACCTTTCTTAACTACCCAGGCACTCTCTCCCATACCTTATATCCTGCCATGTTTTCTTCACAGTGCATATCCCTCTTTGCCATAGTCTTATTTATTTGTTTATTTACTTGTTTATTATTGGGCTTTTCCAAATAGAATATCAGCTGCATGGGGCAAGGGCCTTGTCTGCTTATTGCCTGCTGTATTCCTCCATCCTGGAACATTTGTGCCTGACACACAGAAAGGGCTTAAAACATATTTGATGAATGAGTAGCTCCTCTCCTTCCCCTTCTTCCCATGTTTACTTCTTTTGTTTTGTTTTTGAAATGAGCTATATATTCTCTTGCTCACTCTTTGGTTTCTCACCTTGTCATCAGTAACAAGCAGGTCTTTCAGTATCTCCCCGGAACACACTTCAACAAGAAGGGTCAACCAGAGGAGAGGTGACAGGTGCAGGCCTTCAACCTCCCTGATGAGGATACGAAAAGTGTTTGTACTAGATGTCCTCACCTTGGCTTTCTTAGGGTCCCTTGTTCCTAACCTCATTTGTCAAGAACTTTACCCTCAGGCTGGTCTGGACCAGCCCTGAGCTAAGAAGGTATATAAAAGTAGAGTGGGTCAGTAGTCAAGAGATGTGTTGGTCTGCATGTCCGTCTACCTTTCTTTCACTGTGGCCAAGTCCCTTAGCTGCTCAATTTCCTCATCTGAAAAATGGGAATAATTATAACTCTTTAATAATATAATTTCCAGGTTGACATAAGAGAGGTCTGCTTGACTGCAAGCAAAACCTGGAATGCCATAAGTGTTGGACTTCTGTGTCTCCTGCAAGTTTAAAGCCTTCTTGCTTCTTCGCTCATTGGCATCATCAAGCTCAAATGATACATTCTCAGAGAAGCCTGCCCGATCTCCCTGAACATAGTAAGCTCCCCAGCTGTAGAACCTCTTAGCAATACCTTTCCTTAACAGTCACAGTGTTTACAGTTAGTGGGTCATTGATATCTGTCCCTCGCACTTGCCTGTAAGCCCCATGAGGACAGAGACAGACCACGTTTGGTTTTGGTATTGTTTGTTTTTACTAGGTTTTACTTTTTAGAGCAGTTTTAGAGTCATTGCCAAATTGAGTAGAAAGTACAGAGTTGTCACATATACCTCCTGGCCCCACACATGCATAGCTTCTTGAATTATCAGCATCCCCCACCAGAGTATTATATGTATTGCAATTGATGAACTTACATGAACATATCATTGTCACTCAAAATCCATAGTTTACATTAGGGTTTACTCTTGATATTGTACCTCCTATGGGTTTAGACAAATGTATAATGACATAGCCACCATTATAGTATCATACAGAGTAGTTTTGTTATTGGTGGAGGTTGTTGGCATTTTGAACAAAGAATTGGACAAAATGCATAAACAAAGCAAGGAAAGAATGAAGCAACAAAGGCAGAGACTTATTTAAAACAAAAGCACACTCCACAGGATGGGAACAGGCCGAGCAAGCAGCTCAAGTGCCCAGTTACAGAATTTTCTGAGGTTTAAATACCATCTAGAAGTTCCCCTTTGGTTACTTGATATATACTCTAAATGAAGAGGCTGAAGTGAAGTTACAAAGTTATTTACTTGGTACACACCCTATGCAAATGAAGAGGATGTTTTCTGTCATAGCAGAAGTAGAGTTAGAAAGTTATTTACTTAGTCTTAGAAAGTTAGAGTTTTTCAGTTCAATTCAGTTCTAGGAAGTCCTTAAGGTCCCTGCCTCCAGGCCCTATTCTTCTGCCTGAGTTTTACTGCCCTAAAGATCCTCTGTGCCCATTTATTCATCCTTCCTGCCTCCAACCCATCAACCACTGATCTTTTTACTATGTGCATAGTTTTGCCTTTTCCAAAACGTCACATAGTTGGAATTACACAATGTGGAGTAGCCTTTTCAGATTGGTCTCTCTCACTTAGCAATATGAATTCAAGGTCCTTTTGTGGCTGGATAGCTGATTTCTTTTTAGTGCTGAATAATATTCCATTGCCTGGATGTAACAGTTTATCTGTTCATCTACTGAAGGACATATTGGCCCTTCCAAGTTCTGGCAATTATGAATAAAGCTGCTACAAACAGCCATGTGCAGGTTTTGTATAGACATAAAGTTTTGACCCCTTTGGGTAGATACCAAGGAACTCAATTACTGGATATATGGTAAGGGTTTTTCTAGTTTTTCAAGAAACTGGAAAACTGGCTTCCAAAGTTACTATACCATTTTTCATTCCCATTAGCAATCAATGACAGTTTCCATTGTTCCACATGCTTACCAGCAGTTGGTATTGTTAGTGTTCTGGGTTTTGGCCTTTCTAACAGGTGTGAAGCGGTATCTCACTGTTTTAATTTGCATTTCCCTTGGGCACATGTCAGGACTTCATGAGGCTGTGTCACGGGCATGTCCTTAACCTTAGCAAAATAGACTTCCTAAATTGATTCAGACTTCTCACAGATACTTTTTGGTTTACACAAGCAAGCACATTCAAAAGATACTCCACATCACATGTCATTGGGGAAATGCTATCTGTGTGGGAACAGAATGGGAGGCAGGTTTTCCCTAAGCAGTTCCCAGCTTGACTTTTCCCTTTGGCTTAGTGGTTTTGGGGTCCCGAAATCTGTTTTCCTTTCACACTTGCTATGTATGTTTCTGTTCCCTGGCATATCCCCAATACCTAGCACAGTACCTATACCAAAATAGGTGCTCAGCAAATATCCAGGAAATAAATGAATCAATCAGTCAATTAATTAATAATCAAGCACCCACCTCTTTAAAATCTGCATTCAGGAAACTCGTTAACACTAGTCTCAGTGACCCAAATTTCTATCTCTACCATGTTGGTCATTTAACAAGGCTCAAACTTAATACAGAGGAAGAGAAAAAAATTCCTGGAGCTGGTTCCGGATTGAGGGCCTTGCGCCGAAGCTGGATCCGGAGGAGATGAAACGGAAGATGCGCGAGGATGTGATCTCTTCCATACGGAACTTTCTCATCTACGTAGCCCTGCTGTGAGTCACTCCATTTATCTTAAAGAAATTGGACAGCATATGAAGATGGGAGATCACATATGAATGCATGATATGAAGAGCCTGGTTACAGTTTCTACTCTTCTCTGCAAGTGAATAGGCCCAGAAAGGTGTAAGAGATTCTTTGAATGGACATAAAATGTCTGCTTATTAAGAACAAGTTCGGGTCTGGTAACTGACCTTCAAATCTAAAATATAAAACTATTTGGGAAGTAGGAAAAAAAAAAAATTCCTGGAGCTGAAATTTCCCCACCTACATCTGGTCAGCCTCAATCAGTCCAGACTTTGCTTCTAGCTTCCCATGTGATCTCAGATAGGTCACTCAAATTCACTGAGCCTCAGTTTTATCATGTGTGGGTTTGTGAGTGTATGTGGTAGCAGAAATGTCTAGATAAACACAGAATGTAGTATAAAATAAAGCAGTTGAACCAGATGCTCTTTCAGGTCTTTTTAAATTTCAAAATCTGTGACTAAATCATGCAAGACAGGATGGGAAAAGTGGGGGCAGACATGGGACACCACTTGGGATTCAATCCAGTCTCTGCATCTAGTGGCACTTCAACTCCTATTTTGAATGCAAAGAAAAGGTTTGCAGGGATGCCTATGTAGGGGTGAACGGAATGTCTCCCTTCCCTTCTAAAAATGTGCATCTTTAAGACTCTGAAATAAACTGTAAGAGATAAATTAACAGGAGAAAAAACCTACAAAATTTATTAATGTGTCATTTGCATGGGAGCCACACAGAATACAGAACTCAAAGAAGGGCCAGATGCTTGAAGCTTAAATAGCCTCTTCCATAAGAAAGAATAAAATGGGGGACGTAGGCAATTTTAGAAGATGAGTACATGATTTTTAAGGGAGATGAATGGGCCTGAAGAACAGACAACAACCTGGGACAAAATTCCTCCGGGCTCTGAAAAGAGGTAGTGACAAGTTATGAAAGGCAGGGGTGGGGGGGTGCGGAACTACACTGTGAACAAAGATTGTCTTATTATGCAGATACAGTCTCTCAGGTAACAGCCCTCAGAAGAATAGTTGAAAGAACAGGTGAAAAGTCTATCTGTGTGTGGTATCCTGGGCTTGGAGACTTTTAGTTTCCTCTCCACAAAAGGAGCTACTCCTCTCTGGTTAATACAGATTTCAGAGAAAGAGTCTAAGACATTAATTCCTCTACTTCTGAAACTTATTTCTGAGGCCTTTCAGTCGCCTTAGTTCAAAACATGCCAAAGTGCCATATCTTGAGGTGTTCTTTTCTGAGCCCCAACACCTATTTGAAATGACCTCTAGATGGGAACTGCCTGTCTCCCTTTCTTTTTCTCCCAGAGCCTACTTTATCATTTCCACAATGAGATGCCAATTAAATAAATCCTGTCAACTATAAAAGAACGCCACTGAATCAAGACAGTAGACATCGAAAGTACCTCAAGTAGTTTGAAAGAGCAAACAGAGAAGGCCACAAATCTCAAACAAAGAATAAATATAGTATGTCATTGGGTGGATGCATCTCAAACAGAACATTAGCCAGTAGGGTCAGATACAAACATCAGGCATATAGGGAGCCATCCCCCTCCTGGCACTGCTATGAAAATATCAGGGCTTGGTAAACGAGAGTGCTTTCTGTTTAATTACTTTTTATTTTTGTACAAAAGAACAAAAAGGTATACAAAACACAGATAGAGAGGTGGTGGGGCACAAGGCCAAAGGGGGCTTCCTAGGAGTTTGAGACTCTTGGACAAATGGCTTCAGTCTGTGGGCACCTCTGTAAAGTAAGAGGATTGGATACTCTATAATCTGATAGTCTGAACCTTGGCCACACATTAGAATCACCTGTGGACCATTAAAAACTCTGGATGCTTAACCTGCACCCCAGGCCAATTAGGTCAGAATCTCTGGGAGTCAGACTCAGCGATCCCTACCTGATTGCAGTTTGTAGCCAAGTTTGAGACCACTGCTGCAACATGGCTTTCAGGGCTCTACAACCCTGCTAAGGTTTTGCTGTCCAAGCAGTAGGTCCTCTATTGTTCCACTAGGTGGCACCTTCCAGCAAACTTCAGTGGGCCCAGAGAAGTTGCATCTAGTCTAAACTGCAAGAAATGAATTCGTTAAGCAGGGCTTGGTGGTCTTTACTGCCAACGAGGGGTCTGCACTCCTGACATGAAGACTGAGCTTGTTTAACAACTTTCTGGTGCACCCTGGAGCCACAGATGGTTGATTCATCCCTATTTAAAAAGATGAGGCGGGGCTGGGTGCAGTGGTCCACACCTGTAATCCCAGCTACTTGGGAGGTTGAAACAGGAGAATCGCTTGAACCTGGAAGACAGAAGTTGTGGTGAACTGAGATCGTGCCACAGCACTCCAACCTGGGCGACAGAGCAAGTCTCTGTCACAATAAATAAATAAATAATAAAATAAAAAGGTGAAGCTTGAAGAGGGATGTCTCCATCTCTTATGACTAGGTTCATCTATTCATGGATGCACTCTGGTCTCTTCCCCCACCCCCACCCGTCTCTCCAGCAGGATTGATAAACTCCTCTCAAAAGTTCTCAAGGAGCCCCATTATGTGCAGTAATGGACACTTGTTCTGTTTATCTGATTAGTTAACAACACCCAGATTTTCTTTGAAGATTCATCCTCCATCTCAGAACTTAGCCAATCTGAGCAGTAACTCCCCTTCAGGTACAGTAATTGGCCCAAGGATGGAATCTGAACAATTGAGGTTCATTTCCGTATAAAGGCTATCAATAAAGTAGTGGCTTCTTCCAGTGGATTGTTGTGAGTTGGATGTGAGCCCCACCATGAGGCATGTACTGGACCTCTTGCCTTGGCTCCTCCACACCTTCTCCCCATTCCAGGGAGGCAATATAGACTACATCAATGGACTTCCTTGCTCGATGTTTTCCTGTTGGGTTTAGCCCTGAGAAGCCAGGGCAGGATTTCAGAAGAAGGGAGAAGAGCCAGGTCAGAGTGTTTCTTTCCCCTGCTCCCTTGCTGCAACTTTGCTACAGGCTTTGTCCTCCACTAAAGTCCATGGCTCTCATCACGCAGGCTTCTTGAAACAGTCCTCCCTTTCTAGATTCCAATAACTGCCCCTTTCCTCACCCTTCAGGACTAGGGCTGGACAGCACACACTGTTTCTGGTCCCAGGGTACTGTGCTGTCCCTCGTGGTTACACTATACCCTGCCCCGTTGTCTTCCTATTAAACTCTCTTCAAATATTCCAGTGTGAGAGTGCCATTCGTTTCCGGGAGACCCTAACTCAATCAAGGGAAAAGCTTCTTGAGAACCTGAAAACAGTCCTAACACAGAGGAAAGTAGAGCTGAGAGATCATCCAGTTACCCGAGCCAACCCCTGATGTCATCCATGCCTCCAGTTTAACACCCTCCCACATTCAAACAATTACCTAATAATGCTGGTTTTATTGCCTAATAAATTTTAAATGTATCCCTTACCCTCTAGGCCTATTACATGAGACATATTTCAGGTGCCTGTAAGATGAATTCCTGATGAGAAACCTGCTACCTATAATGACTCAGTTTTCCATTTTTTTTTTTTTTTGAGACGGAGTTTCACTCTTGTTACCCAGGCTGGAGTGCAATGGTGCAATCTCGGCTCACTGCAACCTCTGCCTCCTGGGTTTAGGCGATTCTCCTGCCTCAGCCTCCTGAGTAGCTGGGATTACAGGCATGCGCCACTATGCCCAGCTAATTTTTTGTATTTTTTTTAGTAGAGACAGGGTTTCACCAAGTTGACCAGGATGGTCTCGATATCTTGACCTCATGATCCACCCACTTCAGCCTCCCAGAGTAATGACTCAGTTTTCTACCTTGGGGGCACCCTCCACCCTCATCTCTGTGCTGGTCCTTGACCTATTACTTGCCTGAACTGTTGTAAGGCAAGTTCAAAAGGATGAGCTGAGCCATTCAGACTCTGTCTCAGAAACTGGAATCCAGTTAGCCAAAGGGAAGAAGGCAGTTGGTGGTGGCCTCTGACGGTGGCAGTTCAGGTAGCATGAGGGCAGAGACTACTCGTGGGTCACACTCAAGGAGAAGATATGGGAAGGCAGAAACCAGGATTAACAGAGGAAGTGCTTCAGTCAGAAGAAGACAGCACATCCCAAGTGTGGGAAGCAGGGATGCTGAGAGAGAAAACTGAAAGAGAACCGCCTTCGCTCCTGGTTTTCCAGTTCCAGTTATGGTTTCTGGGATGCCAGACTAGACTGAAGCCCCTGCCTTGGGGTTTATGTGAGGTTTCCCCTTTCCTGAAGTTATGAGTGACTCTGTCACTTACAACCAAAGGAGGCCTGGTCTTGATACTTGATAGGCTTATCTCAGAGTCCAGGTTGTAGCCATTATCTTCTCTCACTTGAATTGCTGGAACTCTTACTCCTAACTTCTCTGCCACCGCTGTCCTGCGTTCCCTAACATTTATCCTCCCCACTGGAGTGACCGTTTTGGGATGTCAACTTGCCATGTTTCTTCTTCCTGGAGGTTTATTGTCCTCATGGTAAAGTCTGAGTTTCTGGACTTTCGCTTTATACAAAACTGCTAGTTGCTCATTACCTTAATAATGCTATTTTTCACCCCCATTTCCTGCTGTCTTCTCTTCCGGGAATACCCTTCACATCCTCTTGTGCTGATGAATTCTTACTCAGCTTCAATGCCATCTCCTCTTTCATTACTTCTTCACTTTCCCACCTGGTTTGACTAAGAACCCCTTCCTCTCATACTACTGTTTATATTCCTATTTTAGCATTATGTACTAATAAAGATGAGGATGATGATGTCAGCTATCATTTGTGGACCTCTTATTATATACAAAATGCTAAGCTAGCACCTTACAGATGTCATCTCTTTTAATTCTCACCGAAACCCTATGAAGTAGTTATTTTATTACTCCTATTTCTCAAAAGAGAAAACTGAAGCAGAGATGTCAAGTAACTTGCCCAAAATCACACAGAATGTGGTTGACTCAGGTCTGTTGTTTCTTTCTTTAAAAAAAAATAACAGTTTTATTGAGATATAATTTGCATGCCATACAATTAATTCACTCATTTAAAGTGTACAAGTCAGTGTCTTTTAGTATATTCACAGCTGCGTTCAATCATCAACATAATCAATTTTAGAACATTTTTATCACCACAGAAGAAACTCATACCCATTGATTACTCATTGTTTTAATGCTGCTCTTAGCAGGTGGTGTAGTACCCAGCACATGGTGTCTGTTCAACCAGCACTTGCTGAAGAATGGATAGCTACCCTATCTTAGAAGGCAGGGGAAGGTGCAAGAGAGAGGCTTTTCATGCAATGATTCTGTCATTTCAACACCCATTAAGAGATTTGTGGCCGGGCGCAGCGGCTCATGCCTGTAATCCCAGCA